ACTAACACCGTAAAACAAATGGCACGCATAGACTAATAATTGACGGCTGTACTCGCAACTAGTATCGGATTGTCGATGCCACAGTAAAGATCAAAGGACTGTACGCACGCGCTGTGTTCGAGAGCGGAGATATGCGTCCTTCTGTTGAATTACCTTGACTAAACTTGCTGTGAAATAAAAAAAAAAAAAAAAAAATCCGGGCTCACTAATTACGTCCAAATCGTAAATTCTTAGAGAAAATTTGGTTTACATGAGTATCTTCATGCCTATACAATTATTATTATTTCATTATTAAATATGAATGCTTTAACTTACTTAAGGAAGGAATTTTAAAAGAAAATGTGATGTTTGCAAGAATTGAACCGAAGACCCTGGGAGGACAAGAATTTTCATCAAACTTACAAACCAATATTATACGCAGCCAAACGTATGAACTAAGGCGGTGGGTGGGGAATACGAGACACAGGGAACGTGATTAAAGGATGGAAAATGAATAGATCTATAAGCAATAGAATGGTTTAAAAACTGTGCAGGTATAAGAAAATTCGACAAGATGTGAGTTAAGAGAAACAATTAACTACCGCAGACAAGGAAAAGTGATAAGGAAATATGTGGAAAACATGAACAATATATCAAAACGATTAAAAAGCACCCCCAAAGCACAGATGTTCTTAATAACCGTGGATGTAGTATTTTTTCTTAAATCTTGAAAAACCAATTTACTTTATTACAGTTATAGTGAGCCCGTCTTATGTGGATGGAAAAAAATCAAATGATGGCAAACGAGATCTCACAACTCGGTTAGGGTACTGATATAGGGCTCATAACACATTAAAAAAAATATTATAATTTGATTTATTTGTTTGGTTTGAATTTAATGGCTAATAATAAAAATAAATAAATAAATATGCCGTAGATCAAACAACTTTTTTAAAGATAATCTGAAAACCCCCTTGAGGGCTGTATTCCGTCATTGGTCCACAACTTGTAACTTAAGGCCTACTTATAGCGTGCATACTATCTTTGTCCTATGTTTAATATTGCCTAGCCTTGATACATATTATATGAGCATTTAGTGTCTGAAGATTATAATTTCATGCAAAAAATCCTTTAATTTTCATTTTTGCAAGCTTTCATAAATCTTCAATTATGAAAGCAGAATGCAAATAAAATTTTCAGGTCGGTCGATCAAAGTTGCATAAATAAATCTAAATCTTTATTTACGTTTACGAACAACTACAGAAAATTATTCAAATAAACGGTTAAATCGATAAATAATTTATGTGTCAGTCACGTGAATGCAGTTTTTAAAGTTATCATGGAGAAAATAAGCTACTTTAACTCAAAAATGCAAGTATTATATATCTCGGCTTAGATAAATCGGGTTTAGTTTCTATTTTGATAAATATATCCGGGACAATAACAAAACAGTTTATGACTAAAGTTGTTCTGTTAACGCCTGTAATTTCCTTATTGATCTCTGCAAACCTTTTAAGTATACCCTACTTCATTGATTCGTTTCCTATGTATTAACATTGATTATTTGTTGCTAATTCACTGATGGTTTTGACAAATTAGCATAGGTCGGTTTAAGTGATCAGTCTCACCTACCCGCATCTCTTACCTGAAGCAATCAATTCCCATAATCTTTAGTGCACTTCTTAATTCAAATTAAATACGTCGAAACCTTTCATCTAGATTAAAAAGTTAGACGGATATTAAACGAAAAGAAGAGACTGAAAACTTTTCTACTGTAATCATAACAATGGATATTTGGTTGATTTGAATTTAACAAGGACGTGAAACGGATATTAAAAAATACAAATAAGCAAAACACGCATCATGTTTGATAGGTGTGGATGAAGGAACTGAATTGACAGCCTGCCAGGCGAATTAGTAATACCGGCGGACAGTAGACGTGCCAGCATCAGTGGCTGATTCAGTAATTCGAGACAAGGGCCCAGAAACTAAATTTTACAAATGAAGTACTTCAGTCCCACCATGGCTGGGGATGAAATGGCACTTTCAGACTAACATTTGTAATGTAAATTCTTTTTTTTTTCATCTTTTTTTTTTATTAAATAATAAATTGGTGAGTTGGGGTGGGTGGGTGGCACGGGCCGGCTTTCTGAAAAAAATGATATAGGCCCTATGCCTTTATTAAGTGGGGCTGAGGTAAATTACAGACAATTACTATAACACCAGCTGACCTGTGGTTTAATACTGTGCCACTCGCCTTGTCAGCGAGAGATTGAGGTTTTAAATTAGTAAGAACATTTTTCGTTCATAGGTGATCATCATTATTCAAGCTTATTCGAGCTCTTTTTCTACCATTAGTAATTTGATAATTGCATAATTATGTATATGCCACAGACGTGCGCAGCAACATTGAATCTCTATGGTACATCATTATAACGTAGTTGTTACCATATAATGTAATATAATACTATTATGTAAAAATGCGTGTCCACATTTTGCTAGTTTTTTTTTTTTTACCTTGATAAAGATCTGAGGATAGGTCGAAATATTGGTTTTCTCCAATAAAGTGTTTCTGTTTAAACATGGTATTCGTTTCCTATATTCTTTTGCTATATATATATATATATATATATATATATATATATATATAAATCAAGGTAGTCGGTAACACTGTTAAATTATATATAAATCATCGAAGAACGGTAAATACAGTGTTCAAATGAAGGACATGATGGTAATCATGTAGCATAATTCTCAACAAATAACAAATGCTGTCCTATAATTAAATACATTGTGCAATTAAACGCCTCCGACGGGAGCCGACCACTGTCAAGGCGAGCGTCATAACCATTAGACCAAGGGCTTCATGGTTGAACATATTCAAATAACCGTCAGGTGCATTGCACAATGGCGAGCCTCAAGAAGGCTTTAAAACAGATAAATCTGGAGCTACGGAACGGCTGGAAATAAATAGTAACATATAATATAAATCAAGGTAGCCGTTAGCACTGTTAAATTATACATAGGTGTATATATAATATATATAGGCCTATATATACATATATACACACACATACACACACATAATATTAAAAGGCAAAATACTGAAAAACTGCAATGCTATGGAAAACAACGGCAAATTTGATAAGCAACAGCTAAAAAGTACAGCCAGAAATAGAACCAGAACTTTCGAACAACACTAGTTCTTCCTCGGGATACTCTACTGTTTATTGTAATTTATTCATATATATGCATAGCTGCTTTAATTACATGCCGATTGATTATAATTCTATATTGTTAGCATTATTACATTTGTTTTTTAATCCCTAATCATACGCCTAGCGCTAAGAAGGACACAGGTGAGTCCCTGAAATATTATGTTTAAATGTAT